TGTGTGTGTGTGTGTGTGTGTGTGTGTGTGTGTGTGTGTGTGTGTGTGTGTGTGTGTGTGTGTGTTAGTTATACCCCAACTAGTGTTTGCAAAGTTGCCCAGTTACAGTTCAAGCAGAGTAAGATTAAAAAAATCCTGCAAACAGAGTCATGCTTGGGTGCTCCAGAATGATTCCTCTAAAACTCTGTCCTCTTTTCTTCCTCTTATCCAGTTTCTGCCTCCTGACTTTTATTTTCATCTCTCCGTCTCAGTCTTGTTGCCATCCTGAGGCTGTTTTTTTTTCTCAATTCACTGAACACTTGGGTCTTTGCTCTTACTCTCTCCTGAGCTCTGTGATGAAGCGGAGATCTGCAGTCACAAAATGAGGCAAATCCTGACTCATCATGTACTGAACAAGCACAGCAAACCAAAAATGTTCTTACCTGTTTACATTAGTGCTAAAACTATTACCCCTAATTTACACTACTTGCGTTCCATCTCCGCTCCGCTGCGCAGGTCGCAGCTGTGCGTTTCAAGTCCAGTTTACACTACCTCCGCTCCGCTCCGGTCCGACAGACGTGCAGGAAGGAAATCGCACGATAAATTCAGTGATAAGTGTGGAAGTCACAGCAAAAAATAATTCTGTGAAAGACGAACTCCAAACACAGCTGAAAACAACGATATAAAGGCTTTTGGTATCTAAGTTGAAACTGTCTCGCTGTCGGCTTTCTGAAACTTCTGATTTCAAAATAAAATCCACATGTATCCTGTGTGTACACATATACTTCATGCTACATGTTTCCATCTGCTTCCCAAACAGAACGATACATTCTGACAGCGTTTGTGTAGAAATATATCCGTATATTTATTAATATAGTCGCAATTTCGACATTATTCCGACAAATTATTCCGCCAAATAGTGTCTTATTTTGAAAATACGGATGTTGTGCTCGTTTTTTTTTTCCTGTTGGTGCGACGTAAGCTTTAAAAATCGACTCCGGTGCAGCTCCGGCATCTGTCAAAATAGGATCTGTTCTAATTTTGACGGATCGCCGTCCGCTCACCGCCACCCTGCACAGCCAGTGTAAACACTCTCATTGGTTATAATGGGTGCGTATTTGCTGTGGAGGTCGGACTGCAGCGGAGCGGAGACGGAACGCAAGTAGTGTAAATTGGGGGTTAGTTGTCATAATCGACAATGTTGCTTATAAAAAAACTGTCGAGTTTATAACGTTTACATATCAAATTATTTACCCATGTAAATGTTCATTTGTAACTGTAATGCAACCCATGACCTGCTGGGGGCAGAATCACATCTATTGTCTGCTTTGTTTACAAAAGAAGAAGAACATGCCGGCCTTTAATCCACAGAGGATGACACAGCAGGCAAATCAAAGAGTTATAACAAAGGCTGAACAGGTGCGCACACAGGAAACGCAGATGTGACAAAAACAATTAACTAATCGACTAACTGAAAAAAGAATTGCAAATTATTCAACTATAAAAATAGTTTATGTACGATTTCTTCACTGTATTTTCTGTCAAGGAAATGCAGCGTAATCATTTCTCCTGTTCATACACCTGAACCCTAAGTCAATCATTTTTTGTGTCGCTGGAGTAGAAGTGATTTATTTTATGTATTTTTTGTTTTTTGCTGAGTGTTCTCAAAGTTCATTTCCTCCGTATCTCATGTTTGCAAACACAGAATTTAAAACCAGTCACTCACGCAGAGTCTAAGGGTGTATTCACACCAGGAAAGTCTGAACAAAAGCAGACTTTATTTTATTTGTTTTTTGTTTGTTTGTTTGGTGCGGTTTGCAGTCACATTGTGCATTTTTGCAAGCGAACTATAATTTACAAACAAAGCCACGTCGGTGACAATACATGCTCCCATTTGACAGAAATGACAGGGGCAGGACAGAACACAGACCCGGAAAGTAAGATGGTGCTGTTCAATACCATAAAGAATTTCAGTAGCAGTTCATTCAGCTGCAGTTTTGGGATAATATACTTATAATCTTGGAACGGTGTTGGCAAATGCATGCTGCAACTTAAAGGAAACGAGATGCCCCACGTTCCCTGACCCACAACGGCTCATTGTTTGTAGCATAGTGGTAGCATTAGCAACACTAAAGAGCTAATCGTTACCATGACGCTTAGCAACGGTGGCTCTTGAAGTCCAAAAAGGAGCATGTTTCCTGATTGCCATTTGGGGATGGGGTCCGGAGGAGGGGCGGACTGTCTAGTGGGGGCCTGGGCTGCAGGTGGGCTCGGGGCCTGGGGGGCGGTGCCGGGGACGGGGCTGGCATTCCGGCTTCCCCGGGGCCGTTTGGATTCCTGGTGTATGTTCTATAAAACTAAAGGAGTAAAAACTCATCAGCACTGGATCCAGTTTGTATCAACACATCTGAGCAGTAGCAGCAGAAACTAACTCCAGGTGTGTAACTGATAAGCTGGAATGCGGATGTGAAACAGCGATCAGTTGAAGCCTTGATTAAAAGGCCAGGTTGAGTCACAGCCTTAGGTGAGGTCACTACACACTTCCCCAGATGAGATAATATATTCCATTACAGGATGTGTGGCTGTTTGGCAAGACTCAAGTTTACGGATGGTTTAACCAATCGTGTAATACAATCTCCAATTATACACAAAGAAATTGAAACTAAATCTAAATCTCTAAATGTCTCCACATCTGTGGTAAGACCATGAAAAGTGATTCTTTTTTTTTTTTTACTGCAGACCAGAATAAACCACACTCTACAACCAGGAAAACCACCTGGAACAAACTCATTATGGGACTTTAACCTTTGATCCTATTTGATGAGTTTGTCAACTGTTTGTTTTTTAATCAGTGAAGCTTTAGGTGAAGTCTGTCAAAACATGTTCCTGCCTTCTTCATCCATGAAATAATCTGCAGGGAGCAGCTGTGGGTGTAATGGCACCTGGTTATCAGCCCAAATATCCCATGATGCCTCAAAAACCCAAACTTTCAGAAACCATTAGGTCCTGAAAGCACTTTGTCCCTCCTGTGTCTTCACAGCTGCACAGTTAAGCTTTTCTCCAGAAGCTGGAAGAGTTCCATCATATCTACTGATGTGAAGCCGGTATGGTGGAAATTCAATCAGGGTTGTAACTGCGGTCACGAGCCCAGAGAAAACCTTTAGTCAACATAATAAAAATAACACAGTGAAATAAAACCACCAAACTATGACGTGACAGAAGGATGAAAAATGTCCAATTTAAATATAATAAAGGTTTAACATTCCTTGAAGAAATACCAGAAGTTTAAAATGTAAATGCCAGAAGTTTAGATCATTTCATTTTGAAAAAAGGCAGCGTTCTAGCTGTATAATATTTAAACATGTAATGTTGAAAGACCTGAAGCAGTTTATTATTAGTACTGTATGTGCTGGGAAGGCCTCTCAGGTAAAACCAGACCAACATGTGTTAAATGTTTCTAGAGTTTTGAGGCAGACTGGCTGTGGCGGCCATCTTGAATTGAGTTGACATTATTCTGTTATAGATGCATGTCCATCCAGTGGTCTGTGCAATATTTTGTTAACAAACAAGGTTGGCAACAGTTAGTGCCAAGTTTTTAACCAAAGATTTCATGAACATAGTTTTGGAGACAAGTCTCAGATAAAACAGATCAAATTTGTCAAACGAATTAATTTAAGCAAAAACTGAATAATTTAACATTTACTTATTCATCAGCTGTGATTTACATACAATAACTATTTTCTGAGTTTCATTATAATTTATCCCCTTAAAAAGGATATAAATCTGTTGGTAACAGAGCACCAGCTATTTCAGAGGCATAGAGGGATACAGTTTGTGTTTACAATTTAATAAACAGTTCTGCGATTCTGATATTGGACACATTAATAATGCAAAACTGATAAAAATTACGAAGCTCTACTGCTCACTGAATGAATGAAACTGAAGTTTTAGGTACAAATTTCAATTAAATTAATTAAAATATCAACTGTAATTGATTAAAATTGTCAGGCAAAAATGATAAAAAGACTATCTAAAAACAAACGGTAAAAAAACAAGTACATTCCAGTTATTTAAAGCATCATTAAATAAAGATTTCTCTTGTTTATTTTTCTAGAAAAACAAAAGTTTGAATTTAGATTGAAAAAGTTCTCTTCTCTCAGTGAGAACAGGACTTGGTCTCACAAGCAGCAAAATAAATAAAAACAATAATATTAAATTAAAACAGTTCTTGAGCACCAGGTTAACTGAAAAAAGCACCACAGACCTGTTTCTGCTCAGAGTCCAGATGAATCCTCTGTACAACTTGACCTGGTCCAAACCTTCAAACCAGCGCGTTGAGAAAGAAAACGTCTTTTTATACGTCCTCCCACAGCTCCACAAATATTCCCAGACGTTACACAACTTCACGGTTCTACAGAAGCAGCTGAGACTGACCAAATCCTCTGCTGCAGCTGTGCTGAGGTCAGGATTTTTGAGGAAATGTCGTCACATCCCAGCAAGGAAGCAGAGCCGGGAGAAAACTGAGGAGAAACCTCGGTCCTGTTGGAGTTTTC